CCTGCCCGCACGGGAACGGGTTATCCCAGGAATGCTGCTCGCTGGGTTGCTCCTTCCGCTGAGCTCAATCGGGTGGCATCGACTCAAGGCAGCGTGGGAGCCAAACACTGTAAAACTTAATCTAAGCTTCTTACCAGGACACATTGAACTCCTGTTGAGCCAGCTCTGTACTCATTTTTTCACCAAACGTCTTGACTTCAAAGTTGTAGGAGAAGCAAAGACGGCCCCGGAGCTGCAGTGAGAGCCAAGAGCATCAGCGGCTCCGCTCCCGGGGGGTTGCGCTGGCGGGGGCACCGTGCCTTGGCCACAGCTTCTGTCACTGCGTGAACTTTTGCATGTTTATCTGTATGAAAAGAAGTCTTTTATTTTTGCTAATAAAGACCTCCTAATGAATAAAGCCTCTGTTCTATTCTTCCAAGCTGTTAATAGGGCTGTAAATCAGCACCAGTGCATAGATGCTGCGCCCAGTGTCACTGTGCTGGGGAAGAGCCCAGCAGGCACGGATCCAGGTGAGGAGGACCCCCAAAGGTGTGCTGCATGCATTAATGGCCAGGGAAGTGAGAAGACCCGAGGTCCTTACATTTAAATGCAAATTTCTGACAAAATTTGCTGGAACAAAATACCTGCCAGTGATTTCTTACAGTAGGGAAACACTGGCGCAAAGGTCCTTCATGGGTACTCCAGCCTCTTCAGCCTCTAACTCTAGCAAGCGTTTCAGCCGTCGTCCTTTTCAGAGCAGCGTTTATAGTTAAATAACTGGTTACGCTAATCACCAGGGCTTTAACATCCCTACGCCTCCCTTCCCCTGATTTACAGGAGATAGCACTGCTGCCTCTGTTTATCTATTGAGTTGTTTTTTCACATTTGTTCTCAGTCAGGATGAGGTCTTGATCCTAGATCAGATAGTAGATACTAGCTAAAAACTAGACTAATATAAATTAACAACTGCTTGCTTTTCCTCTGGCTGGGGATTATGTATCTATGCACATGGATCCGTATGCACAGCAGTTGAATCCTAAACAAAACCGAGCAGGCGTGCGCGTGGGAATCCACAGCTCTGTTACTGATAAACCCAGAATTCAACCAGTGTAACCATTCCCAAACTCCAGCTCGCGCCGACAGCCCGGGGCCGCTGCTGGGGGGTACCTACCTGGCCAAGTTTCTGTTTCACTTTTCAGCCTCTTTGGTGTTCACCGCTCTGAGCCCTTTATTTGCCAGTCCAGCAGACTCCGGGTGTTTATTGGCAGCTGGGGTTTCTTTCCTCATTGCATTAGAAACAAATTTTTTTTTCAGTTAATACAATTTCTAAGTCTGTTTCTGCCCGGACTTCAGTCTGGTGTTGGTCAGTGGAACTGCTGAATTTGCCCCAAGAGATTATTTGCGTTCTCAGTAAAACCTGCACTTATGAGCACCGCTGGAAGCTTCGCCCCAGGCAGATCTGGTCCGCACGCTCCCCTGACCCCTCTGCACCTATTTTCATCCCTTTTATATAACTTTTCTTCCATAGGGAGACAAGAAACAGCTCTCAGAGCCCGCGTCGCCAGCTCGAGGCAGGAGCCCAAGGACCCTCGTGAGCAAAACCGGTGCCTGGGCTCTGCCCTGCATGGAGAAAAGGGCAGCGTCAGCTCAGCTGTGGTGAGTTTTTCAGTAAAGCTCAGTCACTCTGGTTAAAGTAACCACAGGAAGGAAGCAGATGGGATGCCTCTTGCTGTACGGAGAATGAAGGTTTCCAGTTACCTGATGCTACGGGAGTCGTTTGATTCATAAGAAAATGGAGACAGATCAAGTCAGCAACCTGGACACGATGGCTGGCTGCTCGCAGGGCCATCAGCGTGGGAAAGGAGCTGGCACGGTGAGGAGATGCAGCTCCGCTCCTCCAAAACTGGGTTGAGAAGGTGGAAGGACGGCGGAAAGGTGCTGCAGGGCTCCCGGCCAGGGGCACGGGTTCACTCGAGGCGGAGAGAAGCAAGAGCCAGGGGACATGCCGTGCTAGATCACCGCACGAGCCACATGCAAAGAAATTTGTGCCATTTGTCACCAAAACACGGGGATGTTTGCATCATGATGCAGCTCTGGTGGGCAAAAGCATGCAAACATGCCTCTGACTAAACATACGTATCATCTCCAAGAAGTTTTAGGAAGGGTGCTCTAGAAATCCCAGCAGAAGCTGTCTGGGCAACCAAAGGCAGCATCTACCATGGAGAAATGACATTTCCAGCAGAGAAGCAATCTCCATGATTCATTTCTGGCCATGTCCTCATGCAGCCTTTTTCCCATTACCAGGCCAGCCCTGGCCACAACAGCCCCTCCTTGCCAGGACACCCTGCTTAAAAAAAAAAAAAAAAAGGGAAAAAAAAAAGGAAAAAAAAACCCAAAGGGCAGCCTGCAGAGCTGAGACACCCAAGGCACCGGTACAGGTCACCCATGTGACTCGTGACACCTACCTCAAACCAGAATCACAGCACCAGCATCACCTAGCTCCCTGCATCTCGCCAGGCTGCGCCCTGACCTGACGCCCGCTGCACGTGTCGGGTGCAGGCAGCAGCTCTGCAGACCCCCTCGGGTCCCAACATAACTACCATGTGCCAAAAACAGCAGTGTTGGGTTGGGGGGGGAACAACAGAAAAAGGTCTTTTACTACAGTAGCATGATGCCACCGCAGCGTGAGCTCTGTGGCGATTGAAGCAGTGATGGGCAAGGTGAGCCGAGTCGAGACCCAGAGCGCTGGGCTGGGGCTCAGCCCTGCCTCTGCTCTGCTGGATCCCCCCGGGGCTGTGCAAGCCACAGGATGAGACCCCGGGCACAGCGTCCCCTCTGCAAAACAAAATGGGACAGCGCTCCCCTGCACACCTCTTCCGTGTGCAAGCTTCTGCTTCTCACGCAACCCCGAAAACTGCTGCGAAGGGAGGCTGCATGCACCGGTGCGGTGCATTATCCCCCATCGCTTAGTGCTGATGCAGTTCTTGCCAATCTCAGTGTCAGTCTAAGTGTTACAGTAACAGCACAAGACTGTCACATAGATCAGAGATGGTGGTTTTCTGTTTTTTTATCCCACAGAAGCAAATGGTTTCCTTACTGGGTATCTTCTTCCTGAGAGCTCAGCCCGCTGCCTTATCAGCAGCCCCGGTACCTGGGAGCCTGAGTCATTCACCCGGCCTCGGCCACTGCTGCCTGCCTAAGCAAGGCTGAGCTTCTCACCAGGCCAAACGCTGCATCTCAACCGGGTGGTGCTAGTGCCGCAAAGATTTCCATGTGGCATGGGCTGCATGTGGTTAAACCGCTTTTTGAGCTAAAAAAAAAAAAAAACAAAGAAAAAAACGTTTACATATTAAACCCTAGAGGAAAAGAATTGGAGATTTGGTCTAAATACAGAGGAAGAGGAGGTTTATCAGCCCTTCAGTTCGCAAGGGGCTGTTGCACTGCTCTTGAAGAGCACAGCATCACTGTCAGGCCAGAAACAAACCCACCAGGAACGGCGTGGCCAATCCAGCCCATTATAATGCAGCCAACACTACATAAAAATCCCATTTCTGCGTCCCAGCACGCCCCATCGGTGAGTGCCCCTGCTGCTGCCTACAGACAGTAACACCAAGAACCACCGCCTGATTTTCATTTTCCTTTTTAGAAAGTCCAGTCAGTGCTCACTCGACAGAAGTTCTGTCTGTGGTTAAAGCCACACATTTCTGACAG